AGAGGGAGAGAAAGAGGGAGAGAAAGAGGGAGAGAAAGAGGGAGAGAGTGCACATATATTCAGGAAAACTTTTTCTCAACAATCTTCCTGTATTAAAAAGAAACCAATTATACTTGCAAGTCACTTGCAGAAAATTTTAATAATTTGCCAAATATACAGCTATTAGAATGACCCCAAATATCACTTCTTAAGTTACAAAAGTTGGTAGATAGCATAGTACAATGTTCTATAAAATAAACACAGGTAATATTAACAATACCTCCTATGGTTCAAGAATGGCAGAAAACAGCAAATGAAATTACAAACACATACAGATTAGAGAAGATTGAGGGGTGGCTTTAGACACTTAAATCAAAGAAACTGAGACCAGACTAGACTAGATACATTCATCCATCAAGCATGTAGAATTTTAAGAGTTTAAAAACAATTAACAACACAGCATCAGGTGCAGTTTCACGTGCTTTCATCTACTTTCCAGTACAGTTCCCAGAGGATTAAAGTGCCTTTGTGCACTCTAGTTTCATTTAGAATCAGATGCGACACACATTGTATTTGGAAGTTACTTCATAGGTCACTTTTTTAAAAAAAATAAAGTAACTATTTGAACCAATGTACACAATTCAAACTAAGGCGGTTTTGAAATACCTTTGTTCTGACCATCTGCTACTAAATGTCATGTAACAAACTCCAAATCCACAGGGCCCACCTCCCCTAAATGAGACCAGAGGAAAAGATATTTACTCAAACATGTTTTCTGCTGTACAACTTTTAGCTTTGTTAATTTTCCCCTTTTCAAATACATTTGCCCTTTGGATGATAATCTTCTTCTGCAGCATCCATCACACATTGCTGTGAAGGTGAAGGATAGGCAGGATTTGGCCTGTGGCTATGGAGACAAATGCACTTCCCAGATAACATCCTACTGTAACCCAATCAATATGCACAGCATATTCTACCTGCAAGACACCTGCTCAGTCCTCCTTAGGAACTCTTCCCATTCCCCGTTCCAAAGCTCAGCACTACCTGCAGTAAGGGAAGGAAAACTCCATGCAGTTCGACTGTCACTCACCTTGCCCTCAAAATGTCCTCTTCAAACCCCAGGTAAAGATGTTTCACAAAGCCTACAGTCCAGTCTCCCACCGAAGCATCCACTCCTACCCTCTCAGAGGAGTGTGCATTCACACAGTATCTGAGGCATTTTAATGGTGTTTTGAAACACTGGCACTTTAAAGAGCAGTTATGGGGCATAAGCTTTTTAGGAAATAAAAATTTCCATTAAAATATTCCACCATGATGCTACAGAAGGTAGAAGGGCAAGGGCAAAGAAGGCACTCAGGAGGAAAGCTCACTTGAGAAAAAAAACCCAGAGGAAATGAGGAGGATGAACAGGTGTTCATAACTTTAAACAGCAGATGTGGATGCTTCCTGCATTTGACAGTTCTTCACATCATGAAGTGAGCAGGTAATTCCAACAATTTTAGGTTCAGGCTGTCAACACCCCTGCACACCTGACAAGGCCAGTGTAGGTGATGCCTTCCCTTCACTGCTGCTGCTGTTACACCTGAAAAAGCCCATTTTAAACTCTGCACAATCGAATCAGATCAGGAGCTCTATGCAGGTGAGGAAGTTTTACAGGGTCTCTAGGTGTGTAACATATTAACATTACTTAAAATATCATGTGCACTGAAATATTTCAAGAACATATGCACTCTGTTAATCAAATTACTGGAAATTAGTGATTTCCTAATCTACTGAGTACTTTAAAAGTTCTCCATAAAACTGTGAGGTTATGGAAAAGAACATTGGCTATGCATTACAGTAGAAAAAAAAAACAGTACAAGTTTCATGAGAATCACAACTACAAGCAAAGTCTCCAGTTTAGTTCATAAAACAAATGGATTAAAATATTTTAAACATTTCATAGCGATATAATAAATTCCAATGTAATTTATGCAACAAATTTCACCCATATCCAAAAATACCATATATGTAAATACTTTTTTATAAAACTTTATACAAATCAAGCTCTCCTTAAGCAAGCCTATACACACTTCTCATGTCACCTAGGTAGAAAGGCTTCAAAAGCATATATTCTCAGAGTCCAAGAGTGACAGTGCTGCATGAGTCTTCCCTTTTGACAGGCAGCTTTGCTAAACCCAAGTCTTATTGCTTAAAATCAAATGTTTCCTCAGCAGCCCCAGCATCCAGCTACACCACAGCAGTCTAGGGCAGGGACCTACCCTCCATTTTATGGGACAGAAATACCTACAAGCCTTGTTACCATTCCCATGAAGATTTCCACACAGTGGTTGCCTGTCCTGTACACTTCAGCCAGAGAACAAGAGGGGCTTTGCTGTCAGGGAGATTGATGGCAGTGTACTAGCTCAGTGACCAATGTCTCCCTCTTCATCTTCTGATTAATTCCATATTCTGTTGAGTGATTTCTGTGAATACATCTCCAACTGTAACTGAAAACAATCGGATCAGATACAAGACACCAGAGACACCGAGTCTAAAATGTGCAACAACAAAGTAAATATAAGGGCTTTGCAGGCTTAGACTCACAGCTGGTACTATGCTCAAACAACTCTACAGCAAGCTTTATTTACAGAACTTCCAACAAAAAAAATACTATTATCTCTCAAGCTACGTTTTAAATTAACAGAAATACATTCATAATAACTACCGGTACAAAAACCATGATAAAATTATTTTTTTATTCAAAATATTCTGACAGGTTGACAATATTCCAGGTGCATTACAAACACTGCCATAGCCAACAAAACAATCAATACTTAAAGAGCATTCAAACACTGAGGAAGTATATCTTAAAGCAGAGACAGGACAATGCATGATACCAAGAGCATACAGATAATTTTCTAATAACTGACTTCTTCGAGGCAAATGTCTGATTTCTCTGGCACAAAATGGATTAAAATCCAGAAGAGATGAATTACTGAGGACAAAAATTATGATGTTGCCCATATTTTCTATAAAACCTTGTAAATTTATCATACAAGGCCACTTAAGCCTGGACTACTCTAGTGTTATGGAATAGAACAACGAAATCATAACAGAGAAATCAGTGTCAAAGCAAACAAACCCACAAACTCTTTCTAGAATATGGCTTAAATTAATTCACAGAGATTTGGAAATATACTAACTATATGGTGCAAGAGAAATACCAGGTAGAAAAAAAAAAGTCCCTTTCTTTCTGGTACTTTCCCCTCAGCCTTCACTGTAATTCACATGAAATTGTCAACAAAATGATACTGCCCCTCCTCTGCAAGCCCCTTTTCCCACACTTCAAAAACATTGTTTCTAACAGTTGGTTTCATTCTTGAATGCTTTGGCCAATATGAGCTCTGAAGTTAAAACAATGTAGTTCTACACACAGTAATACCCTGTTTCTTCAATCAACCCAAGTTCTCAGATAAAATTTCAGCTTTATTTAAAACAGCATATTTGCTTGAAAAAGTATGTGTTTCTTTCTCATACAGATAACAGATGTGAAATGAAGAACTTGCCAAGCCATGTACACAACTGAGTGCACAGTGCAGGACACTGTACTGAGAGAGCAGCAAGGTCACAGGGTCACGGGAAGCCCACATGGAAAAGACATACATTTCCAATGACCATTCTAAAATGTTCTCATCCTGGGGCTTGCTTTAAGCATTAAAATCTTGCTCTACAGATGGGCAAGACTCGGCCATTTCCACTTTTCAAACAGCTCACTGTATACACGTGGCAGCACAGCCATACGGAAGAGACACACCAAAAATGCTTTGGGTACATCATCCTGATCTCAAGTATTCCATAAAATAGCTTGATTTTTTTTTTCCCCATGAAGAAGAAAGAAACGGGACAACTTTCAAATTACACAGCTTGCCTGTGTGTCATTAAAAGAAACCAGTGGCAGCTGCAGCCCAGGGTGGGAGAGCCCCAGCTCCACTGGCACAAGTGGTGGCACAGCTGGTGGCTCAGCTGGTGGCTCCAGGGCCCAACGATCTCCACAGGAGAGTCCTTTGCCTGCACTGCCCACGGCTCCAGTCGGTGCTCCCCAGCAGCAGAAGTGTGAAATGCTTGTTGCAAAAACACAAGCGGCCAGTGGCCAGCAGAGATCTCTGTACGCCCACTCATAACGCTCCATTCCTCTATTCCAATTAGTTTGCTTTTTAAAGCAATGTTTTTGGAGAAGGGCCATGAGAACAACAGAGTGAGGCATTTCCCTTAATCACAGCATCAGACACTCCATTAACAGACTGACTTAATCTTCTAAACCAAATTACCTGCTGGAACATTTTGCATTTGCATACTTGAAATTGTGCAGTTTAAGCCTGTTATGGTATTTTACTCCAGCATTTTCTTAGCACCTCAACACAAATTATGTGGTTGATCGTCAGTGGTGAACATTGGCTACAGACACCCACAACGGGGGAAGGAAAGGTCCCCATGAGAGCTGAAAGAACAGCAATATCTTCCCGTGACACGGAAAAAGCACTTTTTGATGCTTCAGGCAAGACTGCTGACTCAGCACGGGATTTCTCTCCAAGCAGGGTTACTCCAGTTATTCAAATACAGTAAACACAAAGGCAGTGCTGAGGACATCAATCCTGCACTTACCTTACAGCTTTCAGTCTATTTTCTAAGCATTTGTTAATGGAGATGCGGCTCAGTGTCAAGGCTAAGTGGGCAAATGTCATCTATGCTAAAGTCATTATAGGAACTAACATAACCCTTGCTTCTGGTTGTCCTTGGATTTAAGACGACCACATACACTTCATTCTATTCATTTACCTATCCTGCTTTATATCTCAAGTATTTTCATCCTTTCACACTCCCTAATTAACTATCAATTATTTTCCTGAGTGAAATTATAAAAAGTTAAACCCTTCTACCAAAAGTACAAAGACAAATAAAATATAGAACAATACAAACCCAGTATACAGCATTACAAGTGCAGAAATTCTTCATGTTGTTGCTCTTTATCATTGGCCCCAATAAAAAACATAGCAAAGAATTTAGTTATCCAAAATACTTTGAAGTACTGTGATTAGATTTTTCAGACCATAAATGTAGCCCTCATCCTTTGCGTTGCTGGGAAACACGTGAGCAAAATCGATCATCCGGACTTCGACGTTTGCACTTTCCTTGGTCTCTGCTGGCATGTGATAGAAAACTTTTTCCAGTTGGGGTAGAACGTTTCCGTTCAGGTGCTCCTGTGCAATGCACGTGCTGCTTTTCCACACGTTGTCTTGCTCCAAGTTTTCAACTTTTAGTGAGAGCTGACTGTGGTGCCTCTTCGGGCACGACTTTTTGTGAAGTGCGTAAAATTTGGACAAGCCTTTACTTACAGAGGCTTCAATCTTTCCATTCTCTGTAGAATTTATTACGTGAATATTATTATTACACTCCAATACATCTCCACCTGATAACAGGCCTTTGGGCATTCCTCTCTTCTCCACCAAGGTGACATCACTCAACCGCACAGTTGTTGCCTGACACGAACCTTCATAGACAAAAAGCAATGAGCTTGCATAAAAGTTGAGTTGTGTCTGGCCCTCAAACCACTCCAAAATCTTTTCAATCTTCTGAATGCTGGCAGCTACCACGTCTTTTCTCAAGCAGTACCCACTGTGGAAAAACTTTGAGATGCCTGCAAGAAATAGATACATTTGGGGGTTATTTTCACCTCTGAAAGGAAAACAAACAATCTTCATTTCTTTTGGGATGAGAATGGTTCTTATTTGAAGGAACAGACAGCACTCAGGTAGTTTCCTTTCAGGTAATTATTAACTAAACCTGAAGTGGACCAAGGAATTCTGATACCCTCAGTCACCTCACCTGCTGTATGCTACTACTGCTTGGGCTTGGATTGTAAGTAAAACTAAATGTATCAAGCAAACAGTAAAAGAACATGGTTCCTGCTCCCCAGGTAATTTAGTAAGTGCCTGGACAGTTTTGGGCAAATGTTAAAAACCCATTAAATCTTCCACAGATAAACAGTCTCAAGCAGCTTGTTATCATGAGTGTGTTTGTGTGTGCACCCTTCTGTCCTTTGCTGGGGGACAGATGAACAGGTGTCAACTAATAAGAAGTTTGCATTAGTTATCATCAAACAGCCATATGATGGCAGCATTTTTATGGTTAATGCAGAGCAACATGTGGATTGACTTCCACTGAGAAGGTCCCTTGAACTGAAAGATTCACTGGTAGCAGCTTTCTAACATAAAAGATACTTAGATATTCACAGAAGACAACTAGAGATAAAAAAAATATTATAAAAACATTTAATACTTTTAAAAGGTTTCTATTTCATTATAGTTTCAAAGCTGCAAAAAAAAATTGAATTCTACAACTATCACCCCCTTATTAGCAGTAAAAGAGATGTGAGGAGGAAATTCCTATAGTCTGCACTACTGTTACAGCCAACTGCACTCTTAATTTCAGATTATACAGGGAACAGCTAAAGACCCACCTGGCATGAGGACAAAAAAGGACTTTTAAAATGGGAACACACAGACTACTTTTTCCATACAGTTCTCTAAATAAGTAAATAAATTAAAAATATCCAAGAGCACCGAATTCTGGCATCTGAATTCCCTTACCGTCCTTTACTGTTTCCTTGGTCAAGCTCCTTCCATAGTGTTGGTTTTGTGTCTCGTAGCTGTCTGAAGGGACATGGTACACCTGAGAGAGACAAGGAGGAGGCTCCATGGGTATTTCAAAACATCAGTATTTCTGCAGAGCAAGAGACACTCACAGACAGGCCACAAAACCCTGGGCACCGTTTAGCCCTCGCAGTTTTTAAGTTTCTTGCAGTGGGCAGCACTGCCCTCTAGTGCTCTCCAAAACCCTCCCTTCAGCCCTTGGGCTCCAAGCTACAGCAATGTACCCATTACAGGGAAGTGTTTTATATGGCCCCTGCCTTGCAAATCAAAGATGAGACCTGAATCTATCACACTCCCACGCGTGTTACTGTGGATGTTAAATCAGTAAGACATAACAAGCAAAAATTTCAATGCAATTATTTTGAGTTCTTAGAACTATAAAACTATTTAGCACAAGAGCAAAAGAGAATTACCACCAAGGCCCAGCTTGTAAAACCCATCCAAAATTGTAATTGTCAGCACAAATGAGGTTGCACTGAATAAATGACAGCAGCTGAGCAAAAGTTGGGTTCCAGCCTCGACAGTAGTACATCAGCTCTCATCTGAAAGGGAGGCAACTCACACAGGTACAGTTTTGTCCATGTCAGGAATTGCACAAGCTTAAGAACTTAATTTAAAAATGTTTTATATGTAGACACATTTTCTCTCTAACTGAAATAATTTCCATAGCAGAAACATGCCAGGCAGATGGGCCCAAGTATAATTTGTTCATGAGAGTGTAGACAATTCTTATTTGCTGAAATAATGGTGTTACCAAGCAGGCACAGTTTTCTCTGGCAGGAACTTCGTGCTTGGCACTTGTTCAGACCACCCAACTCCACGGCACCCATCCCAGCCACACCATTCCCTTCACCCCCCATAAAGAGAGAGGATCCCATGGAAAGCAAGTCAGGGCACACTGGTGAAGTGCCTGCTCCTGATCCCTCCTTTAGGGGCTTGTCCTTGCTGTAGCCAACAAGTGAAGTCCAGGACAGTGAAATAGCAGCAGGCAGAAAGGAGTGGTACAGGAGCAATAAAGAAAGAAAACAGAATTCCCTGTTTTCATTGCAGCCCTTCACCTCAAAACCTCTCTCCCCATCCAAACCACAACAAATCCACTAATACACAGGTCCCCACCTCCTGCTTTGCAAAGTAGCTGGGAAGAACTCTCAATAGCTCAAACAGCTCTTATTTTGACAAAAGGACAGAAGTAATTAAATTCAAAGTCCCCAAAGAACTTAAATCATAATTTGTGGAAACTGATTTAAGTCACCAACCATTAAGCGAAGGGTCAGTAAATAATTCTGGTTATTCTAAAGAAATAAGAGCTGTGAGCCTGAATGTTTAAACTCACTCGGTAGCAGAGAGACTTCCCACTCCTATGAACCCAATTTTCAGTGTTATGATATTTGGAGAAACTGAGGCCTCAATGTGTATGAACTGCAGAAAGCCATAGCAGAGATGAATTATTCTAAAACTGCATTTGACCAATGTGATTTTGGGTTCACAAAAACATTAATTTTTCTCCATTTCGGTTTTTTTGGGGTTTTTTTCCAAAGCACATGAAAGCAGCACAGTATACTACACAGGAACCCAAAGATTGCTTATGTTAACATTTCAGATACCAAAGTAACTTTCAGAAACATATGAGAAGTTTCAAAAACCTTTTAAAGAGCTACAAGTCAAAGGCAGTTAAATAAAAAATGAAGAAAAAAAATATTGCTTAGAAAGAGAATAAAGAGTCTGATGACAACATCTAAGTTCTCACATTTGAGATTAAAATGAGTAAAATGAGATTAAACATTTTCATGTAGTCAGCCCAGAGGCAGCTTCCTACAGACATCAGCACTGCAGCAGTTCCTGACCGAGTCATCTTGTTTACCAGGACCAGAACCTTATCTCTTCCCGTAGGAGCTACAGTTTTTGTGACATGGGCACTAGCTCAAAAGTGCTGATTAAGATCTGCAAACTCATTTTGTTTTCCAGAGGAATGTTGAAGCAGTACCTCAGCCCCTGGCCTTCTGAGCTGGGCTTCCCATGAAGTCACCCCCACCTCTCCTCAAAATCTGCACAAAACCATTGCCCCAAATGTCTTTCTATATAGTTTACAAACACCCAGGCAGACGGGCATGTTTGGCACTAACACTGCATTTTCAACTATACAAAATGGTCAGTGATAAAGTACCAAGTCCCACAGCCACACCTCAAGTATTTATTTATGTATGTATTTAACTGCCTTATGCACTCAGAACACTCTCAGTCACCAGCAGGCTTGGTTGCAGACAGTGGTGTTAAAGGACAATAGATCTGGGTAATCACAACAGTGTTCTCCATGCTGGCTCAAGAGCTGTCTCTAAACACCACCTCGAGCCTTTGCTCAACTGCAGGGAAGAGTCTAGGAGAAACACTCCTGGAAAACCTCACTCAAACACAAATACATCAAGCCCCATTCTGAAAGCAAGGGGACAGAAACCCAAGCTCAAACAGAAATAATCTCTAATCAGTTCTTGCTCCACCCTCACCTACCCCCCAAACACAAGGATGGCTGTGCTGGAGGAGCAGCAGACTAATATCAGCTTCCTATTAGACAGACCTCTTGCTTCACTGTGCTTTTGTTCACGCTGTCACCACCTCTAATCTGCTACTAACCCTTCCCAAAATGATATTTGTCTTTGAACCAAGCCTTTTCTGTATCCCTGTTGTTGCCCCTGCCTGTACATTTCTGTCAGAATGACGATAAGTCAGATCCTTACCAACAGCTAAGAAACTATTAGACAGGAAAATCTCATTTCTTATCCATATGCCACAGCTTGCTATGTGTTTGCTCTGTATTCACAGGGAGGTTCATTGCAGAGTGCAAGACAAAGAAAACTCTATGAGCTGCAAAACGCTGCCTCCTGCTTCATCAGTCATTTTTATATATTCTTAGTATGCAAGATCAGAGCTGTTCTGGCTGACAATGTGAAGGCTCCTCCTTGTGCTTACAAGCAGCTCCCACTCAGGTTCCTGCACAAACAGCTCTGGAATCCAGTATGTTAACAGGTTCAGGATTTCAACTGGCAGTAGCAGTGACTCTGTAGGGGCAGCACATCAAAAAAACCAGACCATTAACTGTTGAGGGAAATTATCTTTGGATGTTCTTAACCTGGACTTGGCTTTTGTTTCCCTGTGAGGTGTTCAGTCATTGCTGCTTGCATGCCCACACAGCTTATTATACCCTTTTTTCAGTTACAGGTACTTCATCTGATGTTCCTGGACTGATGAAAACCTTGAGCTAAAATAAAAAGTTGGTCCAGTGTGGTCTTTAAAAAAAGCACAACCCTCGCAAGGTCTCAGCAGAGATACACAGTTTGGAAACCTTGTGACTTCAGCTTTAGGATATTAAACTGAGGAAAATAGATATCAAATGTCACATAATGTTAATTATGGTAATTCAGTATCAACTTCCATGGTGAGGCAGAAAAATATACACACTGTTCAAATACTTAACTGTGGCAACTCCCTGACTTCCAGAAAGTACAATTTAAATACATGTTAAGAGTATTATTTCCTGTTTGGGGGAGATACTGCTAGCACAAATAAAAATCTCTATTCAGTAACTTGCAGAGCTGTTTCACATCTGCAAAAAATATCTGCTAATCCACATTACCGAACCTCAGGAAAACAACCCTAGTCTATTTTGAGCAGGCCTGTACAGCACTACAGAGGGCACCTGCAGAGTGAAGGCCAACTCAGTGGCACACATGCCATGGACCTGTGCACTGCAGACATTCCCATGCACCAGCTGGTGCCTGGGAAACAGCTTCCTGCAGAGCTCCTGATGCCCACCCCAACAGCAGCCTGGGATCTGCTGTGCTAAGCAAGGACATGGAGATCAGAGATCCGTGCTCTGATGCCACAGCATCCAGTCTTCACCGGGCACCCACAGAGCTGCCCACCCCTCGGATTTTTTCCATAAATACGTAGTCAGCCCTATGTTACACACATACAGGTAGGAGGGAGTGAATGTTCAGACATCACACAGAGGTTTCTATTTACAACAAAGCACCTCTACACTCCTGACTGGCATCTGAATGTCAGTCCCCAGCCTGCTGGCAGAACTGGAGCCAAGCTGAAAGCAAGGAGGAAGCAGGGAATGCCCCGGCTCACCCAGGCACATCTGCAGGGGGCACCTCCAGCACCAGGCCCAGAGCCACATCCACACCTGGCCACCTTCTGCCTGCACCTTGTGACTGTCCAAACATAAATTACACAGGTTTCCTTCACGCCTGAGTAACCTGAGTTTCTCTGCAGGCCCACAAACCTGCCACAGCGCAGGATTTGAATGGAGCTTCAACAAGCCTTATTTTTTCTTTTCCAAAAACGGAAGTAAAAGCAAGGATTTAAAGAAAACAATAACAAAAGGAATTTTTTTTTAAAAAAATACATTCTCTTATTTGGTATCTCTGCTTTACAGTATCACTATCTCTGCTTTACAACTATCACTGCTGCTGAGAGCATGCCCAGTCATCCAAAACCATTTATTTGAACAACACCTCCCATTATTTTGACTTTTGTTTTTTTAAACTTATGTTGTTGTTGCTAGACCACACATGATGAAAGCACACACATCCCATCCCTGATTGCTGCTGCCTTGAAAATTCAGCACAGGAAGGATGCATCCCTGCTCCCCCGTTTCCAAGACTATGCTTGGACAATAATCTGCCCATTCTGACATATCTTTCACCATTTCAATGGCAATCAGTACCAAGAGGAAAAAATATATTCTTATAAAAAATACAAGATACCAAGTCCTTGTGTTAAACCACATAACAAAATCAGAGTGCTTCAAAGACTAAGTGTACCCCCAAATGCTCTGACAGTCAATATAACGTTTTAGTGAAGTCCCTACATAAATAAGTTGTAGAATGAAATTATGTTGAAATTTATTCAGTGAAAAAGCAGACTAATAATCTCCTAAATAAAAGAAACAACGATGCTGCAGTTAAATCATGAACCATCTTTAAAATAGCTTAATATAGAATTTTGGACTCCCAGAACTTCCATGAAGCATCTCATTAGAATACACTTCCTTTATGCCTCCTTTTCATATAATAAAAAAATATCTGCTCTGGGGTTTGGAGGAGCTTTTTTCAGAGCTTTTGGCTAGTTTCTTTCGATTGCTATGGGGTTTTTGTGGTTTGTTGGTTGGGGGGTGGTTGGTTTGTTTGGGTTTCAGTTTTTGTTTTGCTTTGTCTTCCTGTTTTCTTAAACATCAAAGCTTGAATTAGATTTAAAAATGTAAAAAACCTAGTTCTGGTAATTTTTTACCGTGGAAGAATCTGAACACTAGATTCGGTATTTAGTATCTTTATTACTCCTCCCTTCCTAAATCTTGTTATTAACAGATCAGAGCTTATGAAACTTACCACAATACTAGAAAGAGTTCATGAAGAACTCATAAAACAGACTCAGCTATAGTAAGTTTGAAAATACCCTGCAGAAACATGTGCTGTAGATTAGGAAATTCACTTCTAAAACCAGCTTTGATTATTAAACTTTACTGCCTGCGTGTTCATAGGTACAAACAACAGAGGTCAATGATGGGTTATGCTGCTTCAAAAAAGCGTTTCGGAAATATTATGGAATAGATTGCAATCAAGATCTTCTGGAAAAAAAGAAAACCTGCAGAAACTGGGAACTGTGGATTCCAAATGGACTGTGAATCTGAAATGAGAGCACAGCCCACACGTTCTGCTTGTGCTCAACAGCATGCAGAATGCTCTGTATTTAACACTGCCCGTGCTGTGAAGAGATTTCTTATCTATATGTGTGTCTACTCCTGAAACCATATTACAATTTGTGTTTTTGCTATTGCAACAGAACCTGAGTTTTCCAACTTATATTTAAACTCTCACTACTGCAATAACAAAACATGTCCAATCTCACAGGATCTCAGAATGGTCTGGTTTTGAAGGGACCTTAAAGACAATCCAGTTCCAATCCCCCGCCACGGGCAGGGACACCTTCCACTAGACCAGGCTGCCCTGTCCAACCTGGCCTTGGACATTTTCAGGGATGGGGCATCTGTTAAAAGAAAGGAACCTCTCCACTAAACATGGAATTGTGGTTTTAGCCAATGTTATTTCAGTAACTTTGTTTTCTAAATGCATTTCCATGCATTTGTTCTGTCTATTCAACGTGTAAGATAAATACAGGTTAGCATGTCAAATGCCAGAACTGTGTACATAAATTAATGCTGTGCCAGACAGGAGACTCACTTTTTAAGGGCAAACCATATATATTTGATATATGAACAGATGATTGTTTATTTACCAGTGCATCAAAAAAAGGTGTATTAATAGCTTTTGAGATAAAAATACACTCTAAGTAAGTTTTGGGGTAAAACCCCCACCTGTAACACTGTTTTTGTTTGTATCTCTTTATGACAACTTATAGCACAGCTGCTTTAGAAAAAACATAGCTACATTCTGTTTCTCCCAGCCCTCTCTTTCTTGCCCTTCTAAAATAGAAACTTATGAGGCAAGCCCCTTCCATGTTAAAAATAACACTGAGTGGACTAATTCCTGAATCATGTTACACCATGTTTTGTCCAGTAAACATGAGCAAACTTCATCCACCATGTGAGCTGTTCTGGGCAGTACATATCCATTCAGGAAAATGTTTTATAGTGTGGCTAGAATCTTGCAAAAATAAAGCAAGCAGACAGGCCATAATCAAGAGGCAGAGAAACTGCCTTGTGAATTCAGACTTTGCCAAGTGCTGCATGAGGGGAGGAGGAACCTTTTCAATTCTCTTTGGAAAACAACTTCCAACATGCAATTTAGTGCCAGAGGCACAAAAACCAAATCTCATCTAGTTAAACACTGGCTGGAAAATTGCACTGCTTGGGGGAATCATCAGTATACATCCAATCTGAATTAGGGGATTGAAAAAATTTCTACAACAGGACAAAGATACAAATAACTGACATGTTAGAAACAATAGTCACCAGCATATCACGGAAGCAATCAATCATTTCTTTTGCACTGTCACAAAACAAAGGACATGAAGTACATTGTTTTACACATGAGATAAGAAAGGTTATGTAATGACTCAAATCAAATCCAAAGCTATAATCTCTAACCTTCCTTTTCCATCCTAACTGTTTGGCTGGTTTTTGAGTCGACTCCCACGTTCTTGCTCACAGGTTTACATAATTACTACACATGACCACTATAATTTATAGCTGTAGCAGCTTATCTCAAGGCAGAGTTAAGGCTGGGAGCTTAGGCAGCTCCACACAAAACATTACAGAGATATTAGAATTAGCTCAAACAATGGTGCAATCTATTGAACAGCAAGGGGGAAGCTTATCAAAGTCTTCAGCCATTTATGCATCTTGATGCAGAGCTTTAGGACCCCTGGCTTTGTGTATGCGAGAAGGGAGACAAAAATCTCACATCCAAAAGAAAATTACTTCTGCACCAATCATAGTAGAAAAAAATACTTTTGGATTGCGTCAGGAACTCAGTACTGACATCAACACATCTCTGTTACTAAGTCACAAATGTTCTGTACAGCTTTTCTGTACAATGAAGTTTTAAAGTAGCCAATACACAAACACTGAATCTTAGTATTTCTAAGAGTAACTAAGAATTAGTGCAGACATCTGCAGGGCCTCATCCATGCCCAGCTAACCTTCCCTCACAGCTGTTCCTTGAGTGTGTAAGCATCAAAAGAGATTTCCTGATAGAAAGCTTTTTAAAATGCAGAACATAAGCAGCTGTTTATAGCTACATGCATCACCTCTGAGAGCTTACTTACTTTTCCCTAAATAGAAAAAATATGTAAAAAATACATTTATAAAAGAACATCAAGATGAAAAATGTGGAGAGGATACAGCTCATTATTAAATTATTAGAATGACTGGTTCAGTATGTAAATCTCTGATATAAGCCTAAAAGAAAAAAAAAAAAAACCACAAAATAACCCTTGATAATTTTAAATACCTGCTGTGGTGGTGAAGAATTAATTGCAACTATATTCAGTTTTAAATACCCAGCCCCTCTCTTGTATACATATACAGTGCCCAGGTTGCAAATAGCTTCCTGTAAGGGACCCAGCCAAGTTAAACACTTGTTGTGAACCAGGGCAGTGTTTTGGAACAGATTTCACACAACAGTTGATACCAGCACTACCAACACATTCAGATAATGCTTTATTTACGTAAAACACAGGAGGACTGTCCTTTGCTAGGAAAACCAGTCACTGTACCTGGTGTGGAACAAGATGCCCGAGCATAAGCTGAAATGGAAGACAAAACAAGTTCTTACCCTCATGCCGAGTACCAAAAAGCCAATCTCTTCCATCAGTGGGTACTTGCTGACCTGCTGCTGTATCTTCTCCACCGAAGCATATGGATCATAACTTTTCTGACCTATTTTGACATCCATTATGCAAGGCTTATTAAACTTACGGGTCACATCTTCCAGTTTTAGATACGTATCTGTCAAAAAACCAAAACTTTTGTAAACAATGGTTCAGAGCAAAATAATTGCATAGCTTTAGCCAAGCTCCTTTGGAGGAAGCTGAACAGTTTAAGACTTAACATCATGTAAGTTTTTTAAGAGTCGAATTTGTCTCCAAACATTGACACCCACAAATTCTGTTGGTATGAAATTCTAAATGCTTTATTGTTTAGAAAATTGTACACAATTAACTTGTGCTAACCTAGCATTCAAATTCAAATTATTGCCCAGATCAAATCGGTGAGTAGTTTTTATTAATTCATTAACATATCTCAAAGAGCATTACTAAGCACATTCAAATGCAGGTTACTGCATGGATGGTTTTGCAATGCAGACTGTGTTTACTGTCATTTTAAAAATGAAGTGAACATTTAGTCCTACCCTTCAGGGGCTGAAATGCAGCTCATTTTGCTTCTTTTTATCCCACTCCCATCTGTACTCATTTCTCATGGCACATCTTTTGGGGAGAAAACTCTTCAAATCCTTTAATGAATGCCTTTCATCCATTTCCAACAGTCCCCTTGGGAGGGTGGCTGGACCAAAAAACCCCTTGGAGTGCCTGAAGATTTAAAGGAGTATCTAAAACCTGATGAAAATGGCTTATGCTTTCCTCCAGGGCAGGTAAGAGAAATTCTTTACAGAGAGGGTTATCAGGCATTGGAACAACCTACCCAGAGAGGTGGTGGATTCACCATCCCTGGAGGTTTTTAAAAAGAGATTGGACGTGGCCCTTAGTGCCATGATATAGTAATTGGAGTTGGATCAGGGGTTGGACTTGATGATCTTAGAGATCTCTTCCAACCCTACCTATTCTATGATTCTATGATTCTATGATTACCAGCATGATCCCCAGCACTGACTGTCAGAACACAAGGAAATGAACTTTAGTAACTCCCTGGCTCCACTCTGCTTGGTAGATGCCTGCACCCATCTCCAGCCCTTGCCAGGACAGCAGGACACCGAGAGCACCAAGACAACACAGTCTGAACACAGGTCTCATTCTTCTTATCTGCTTCTTCAAATCCACCTGTCACCAGGCACAAACTTAAAGCCTGGTTTTCTTTCTAGTACAGCCTATTCCGTGCGTGTATTTCTTCGACTTAATGTAGCCCAAATACATAAACATCGTATTATTCCCCACTCCTGCAGTGTGATCTAAAATGAAATTGCCGAAAAAGCAAAACCAGTTCAAATTCAACAAAAGCAAAGGCACAAAGTGTTTTGCTTGAAAGCTGTACAGACAGGTAACAAAACCAGTCAGGGTCAAGACAAAGTGAACAACCAACGTTTCATTTCCCCTAATAAGAAGAAACACTTTCTTAAGAAAAAGAAATTACATGGACTTTTATTACTTTAAGGCTTATGAGAGTTTCAATTTTTACACCATCATGATCACCATCATGAAATGTCCCAACTTACACCATCATTAAATGTTCCAGCTTCCCAAAGCGTGTATTTATCAATCTGAAATAGGTTTAATTTAAGCCTTAGATGCCTGCTTTATATATGAATGGGACCAGGCATCTTGTTAATGTAAAGTCATTCTCAGGAAAATCTGCCAAACGAACACACTATTTAAAAAAAAAAATCCACTTTTCTACTAACTCACTGTATCAGCTTTCAATTTGTATTGGGCTGCAGGATCTACAGCAAAAGGAGTTTCATTTTAGACTAGCTCACCCACTAACTACAACTGCAGGAATACATTCAAGCTTAAATAACTTGTAGTTAATTTTGAGGAGCCCCAGGCAGCAAACATGCTTGGTATTTGCTCAGTGAATATCCCCAAGGAAGAAGCAGGACAAATACTCTCCACACCAGGCAGTGTATTCTGTATCAGGCAGGTGCCACTTTTACTACTCGACGTTGTTACACAGAGGTCTGGTTCAGTCAGATATCAGCACAGCTTTTGTGGGACTTTGGGGAACCACTACCAAAACCTGGGGAGTCCATAAAACCTGTCAGCTACCTGTTATTAAAATTGTAAAAATCTGTCATCCTTCACACCAATCCTTTTTGCATGCTACAGAAACCACTGAAAATGACAGATTTGTGTCACCATTCTAAAACAATCCAGAAAACTACTAAATGAAGTTCAAATGTTTTCAGTACTTAGCTCTCAAAAGCACAGAGCCACAGGTTCGCCATGGCAGGTGAAGAAAGACAATAAACACAAAAATATCTCAAAAAAGGGCTGCAGTCCTTCACCACCAACCCCAAAATGCTTTGGATCATGTTGTGAGTACTCTGGACTCAAACCGTTACAAATACGAAATTATACAAATTGCAAGTTACCACAAATGATACAAATGGTTTAGATAAAATGTTTTCATCAACTCTAAAATATAACCATACAGATAGTAGTGTAAAACATCTATTTCCATGAGCACCCATGGGTATCCGCTGTCCTCTACTCCACTGGTCTAATTCCCTCTTTTTAATCACACAGCACCAACATTCAGCACCTCTCAAATATTTAAAAGTCCTAAATATCTGTCACCATTTAGTTTCCTATTCATTTCAGATTTGTTAAACTAGACTATCTTACTGAGCTCCTAAAAATGTAACAATAGCTATTTTTAAAAAATTAAGCATTAAAATAACTTCATAGCTAACGCTAACCCTGGGAAATACTAATTACTTGGCAAAGCCTGTGAATTATCCAGAAATTACTCACCTCTCTCACACTTTTTGGAATTATTTAAGTCCTTCTCATTAGGTAACTGCTAGCTCAGAATTAGGACTTTTACATCTCTGTACACATCTCTGCTCACACAAAGCTGTCTGGCCTCGTGGGCAGAGGAATGTCACCCCTGATAAAGCATCATAACGAGTTATTTTTTCTCATTACAGCTTCAGAAAAACAGATCAAGCGCTTACACTGCTTTTTTGGCAATATTTTGGTGCTTATTTGCACTGTATTCAATAGCCTAATGGAACAGCTCCCAAACCCACAATATCAGAACACACAACACTTTCACTTCCAGCAGTGACCACTATGGTATCTCCAAGCACCAGGACCAAAGCAAACAAAGTAAGCTTCAGGGAGGTATCACTGCTCTACCTTTTCAAGTCACTGAGAGTCTTTGAGGCTCTGACCCTAAGTGTCCTTCTCAAGGGCATCTGAGTCTGAACCTGAGCCCAGGTAACTAGGGTGCTCTCTTCCTCTTCTTGTTTTATTAAACAAAAACCTGCAGATTTTTCAAGCAATTAAGACTTCCTAAATTATTACATAGTGCCCTGCTAACCCAATGTGCTTCTGGAAGTCATGCATTCGCCATCTAAACTCAGATGAAATTAAAAAACCCCAAAGAGAGAAGAATTCATAATGATTTCTGTATCTTGCTTTGCTAGCAGTAGTCTTGACCATACATTACGAGGATTTAAATAAATCATTCATCACAGACTTGCCCTGCCCACTTCTATTTACAAGTGGTAGGAAGATGTGCCTTGACATATTATTTAAATATTTTATTACAGTCCCAAAGGAGACAAACCAAAAGACCACGAAAATTCAGCAAGTATGTGTGGCACGAACCACTACAGACTTCAGCACTGTAAGTGTAGAAGAATCTTCCAGAAGATTCATTTTGAGGAGCTCAGGGTTTATGTCACTCAAGAAAGCTTTACTGCCTGGGAAAGAGACATCTCAGGAATAAGTCTTATGTGTTTTCTCTTCAGGCATCCGATTCCTTTTCATAACTTAGAAGACATCTCTCAAAACATAGAAATAAGCAGAGAAAAGCCTCAACTGCCCACAGCAAGAAATGAAGAAAGGAAAGATTTGAAGCTGGTTATATTTATCTACCCTATTCTCAGGTTAGGCAACCAAATTAGGCAATGGTATGAAGTGAGCAGCAGTAAAGTCATTTTAAAAAAAAATATAAATAAAAGCATGGGCAACAAGTAGGTAGCCAAACCCAGAAAACTCAGCAGCAGATGGCTCCTACATCTTTATAATACTTTTCCACTTCTTTGTGAATAAACTCCATTAGCCCACAATGCCAGTGAAGATAAAGTTCAAATCCAACCTAATTTTAGATGAGCATAAGGAGACAGAACCTCACCCACCTCTACCCCCATTTCCTTTGCAGGAGCACTGGGTATGTGATTTCAGCAAAACAGGACAGTGTTTTTACAAATTGTATTGATACTGGGAGTTCATCTTTTCCGTCATACTTTCTACATTTTCATTTACATTTCATACATTTCACTCTTTTTAGATAGCTATTTCATCCACTTATCTACTTTTTCAGGGTAGAAGACTGATGGTTCTTCCTAAATATTTCTGTAAGGAAATAAATTCCTCGTGTTCTTCACCTTACCCACTGCAGTTCCTGCTTAGCTGTCACATGGAAACTTACATGAGAGAGGGTCACAAATCAAGTTCAGAGTGGTCCTAAATTAAGTTTTGTTTTTTTTCAGAAGTCACCTACATCCAGTTTAGCAACAATAGGGAATTACTGGGTTCACTACTCAGAGGTTGTACGGAGCTGTGTCCCCAAAGCCTGTAGAACAGTGATTGCCAATGGAAAGGTCAGGCTTCCAACATCAGGGCTGCAAAAAACCTACAAATATATCTGTAATCTACAATTAAGAACAAGATACACATGCATTCTGCTAAGCTTCATCATCTCCAACATCTGTGATTTCTATCAAGACTACACAAAGCTCATTAATACTGCAGATAACAGAGTTGGCAGTGCAGTGTTTTGGTTGAACCACTGCCATAGCTTTCTATGAAGAAGGCTCCTGTTAGTGCACAGTCTTTCCAAGAAGAAAAACAAACAAAATCAAAAGTTACTCTTCCTTTAAGCCGTTATTCCTATGTCTGGATGACTGGTGGAGACCTGCCAAAATTCAGCCCCATGGTGCAGAGTGCTAGTGAATTCCCAAAGCAAATGAGGGTTGTGTTGAATTACTATATCTTGGCTAGATTTTTATTTTTATTTTTACATCTTAAGATCACACTGCAAATAGAAAAAAATCATTTGCAATTGGAAGGGGATGGGTATTAAGTGGGCTCCGTGACACACAGAACATTGTGAGGGAAGGAAAAATATAGCTCTGGTAGAGCTATTTGAGTTAGTGCCAAACAGGAAAGCATGAAAGCAAATCTGAGCCAAGAAAGTGGCAGTATTACCACAATCTTCCTTGGATTTCTTCTTGCAGAGATTAGACCATGTCTTTGGACTCTGTCTCACTACTCTCTTTGGAAAACAAGTCTATCAAGTGACAGCATAAGCAAAAGAAGACGGAGTTATTTTAAAGGAGCACAGCACCTAGTTTTGGTGCCCATGTATTTAAATAGACTCGACAGCATCCCTTTGTTTCTGTATGTTCCAGAAGCTCTATTTCCCCAGTGTGAATAAGAAAAGTCCCCAGAAGAAAAGCTAGTTTCTGTTTTAAATGCAACAATAATACCCATTTTCTCTTGAGGAGACAATCTTCCAACTGCTCTACCAAAATACCTTTTTCTTCCCGACTCCCAGTGTTATACAAACACAAAATTTAAGACACCAGATCTTTGTTCCATTCAAACCAGCGACAGAGGATGACAAGTGGAGCTCACCAGCATGGTACCTGCTGGAATAACTGCTTTGTGTGAGAAGGCATAATGATGGGATCCAACCTCTGGAGATCCAGCAGCAGATTCCAGTTTGAATGCTTCCATTCCAGCCCCAGCCTATCCGTCTTTCCTTCCTTCCACACCCACAAGGTGCCTGCCTCTTGCTCTGATGGCCTGACTGCACCCAGCCATGAAACCAGCCCACTCCTCCAACACAACCCAAACCAGACCAGCAGCTCTGAGGCAACGTGCATCAGGCCCAGCTACTCAGGAAACCTTTGCTGTACAAACAGCCATGCCCCATCTTCCCTGGGAGGAAGACCCCAAAGACCTAAATCCATCCCCAGGACTGCAAACTGAAACCGGCTGTTAAAGGGAACATTAGTGGGTTACAAAACAAGACCAATAAAAACCCACGGAGCTCACAACTGCCAAAGATCAGTCTCCAGAAAATATTTCCAGAATGCATGGATTAACAGATAAAATTAGAACAGTACCATTTGGTGCAGTAGGTGGTGACCAGACACCGAAGTATTTTGGCAGATATTTCCGCAGCTCCAGAAGAATGCTGTCACAACAGTCAGGGTCATAAACCTGAAATAAATAAGGGGGGGTTGGAAAGATCATCACTTTAAAAACATTCATTTTATACTTCCGATTGTCCCATAGTTATACTTTCTTACAGTCTTTGTTTTCAAAAGTTTAAGATTTCTACTGTACATTTAAAAAACATACAAGATAAGGATGATAATTATCACTGTCCAATACAAATAAGTAGCATCCTTTCTTTCAAATTTTGAAGTGGAAAAGATACATCAACTCCAAGAATAATTTATGGCTTAACTTGAATAAAAATCTAAACTATAATTGTTAACTTCAAAGCCAATTTAGTGAAAAGAGTGTTCTCGCATCCTGGATGTGAGACTGTATAGGATTACTGCATTGTATATATATCCAAAGCTTTTTAAATTATATCAGGTAAAGTACATAGGCTCAGACTAGATAGTATTTTCTTGTCTCCTCCAAAACAATTCATGCTGTAGCTACATCACACAGATTATACACAATTCAAATATATTTCTTTTCACTTAACGCTTTCAACATTTTTTTTAACTTCTGTAGGAAAAACACAGTTTGGAAATAGCAGCTGGTTTATATTCCTGAAGGAACAATTCTTTGCAGAGTGAAAACAAAGCCTATGGAATCACATGACTGTCACCAGTTTGTGGTTTCAAAACCATTCCCTTGCCCAGATTCACCCCCATCCCACCCAAAGATGTAGTTCCAGACACAGGGGATTGCCTACAGGTTTCCATGTGCTTTGTGGACTAAAAGATCTATATCCACTCCAGTACAGGTTACAATGATAGTTACTGCATTTAGGAGCCATCTCATCCCAATCCCCCTACAGTTCTCCCAGTTGTGATGCCATCAGAGTAGTGTCCTGCCCCTCAGCCCCACAGTGGCTGCACAGCAATATCCATGGATGCTGCACAGTGACCAAACCATGCTGAAGGTTCTGCTTTCACTTCAGTGCAGCCAGAGCCCACTGCAAAGTCAGAAGCAAGGCAAAAAAAGTCAAGTGTTAACAGCTCTGCAGAGTTGGCTCAGCTCACTGTGTCAGACCACATTTAACCTCAGTAGGGGAATACCTTGTGATGGCAACTCCAGTGGGGAGGTATTGCAAAATACATGCCTGCATCATAATGTTAATACAACTAAGGAGAAAAAAACCAAACCTGAAGTCCAGCTGCAATTTTTGAGCATCAAGGCAAGCCTCAGCTATCCTCACCAGTACCAGGTAACTCTAGACAGAACCTCATGCAGCAGCAGAACACTAAATAAGTTAATATGGGTTTCATTGCAGAAACCTCAAACTCAAATCACCAGTGTGCTTCTGACACAGGGGCTGCTCCACAGCTAACACAGGGTTCTCCTGGACTTGCACCAGCCACAATTCTGACACCTTCATGCCAGCACCATTACTGGGCAGTGATCAAAACCACGATACACCCAAATCCACGCCGACGGCGCGCTGGGGTAACGAATTTGACCCGTTCCTTTAACTAGTTCGTGGTATATGCCCCATTTTCAAGATCCTAAGGAAAGGGGCCAAAACCTCAAAGTTCAAACCTTAAGAATATGTGCACAGTGTATTGCAAAACGCTGGCACACGCCCACCACCGCACCCTCTGCCACTACTGTTGCTATCTTAAGCACACAGAAGTTGCTGGGTGCGTATCTTACGAGTCACAGTCACGTCACAGGGCACTGATCTCTCTTCACACGTCATGATTTAACAAGCTGGCATGACCTCTGAGGATGACACATAATTGTAACACAAGCTGATATGCTGGTACATTGTGCTCTAAGACAAAAAGCCTTGCTTGCTCCCAGGATCAGTGGCTGCTGTGTATTTATGCAACATTTCTTCACTGAGCCTCGGGCATTGCCAGCAGAAGACAGCGCTTTCTCCAGAAGAGAGATCTAGCTTGATCTTACTAGTTTAAGTAAGAAAAGAAGAAGTTAAGGGTGGGAGAGAACAGAGAGAAAGATTAGCACAAGGCAGATGCTGAGGCACAGACCTGACTATTGCTCTCTTTTAAAACAGTTTAGTGTCCCCCACTGTACAGACAGCTGTTCCTGGGCCAGGACTCCAAGCCCTGACAGGTGGCATTACTTCATGCTGTAAGCATTTTCAGACCAACAGTACAAACCCAATTTTTGTTTACTGTGGTTGTTTATGATCATAGCACTTCACAACCAAGGTAGGGACCTGCATTGGCCCAGCACAAATGCTCTTTTCCCAGGTGAATTTAAGCAGATCTGAGAGGCAGTGACCATCGTGCAGTGTCACAGCCCTTACACGTGAGCAAGTACATATATTTAGGTCATGACCAAGAGGAGAGAGATGGAAACCAAAAGTGCAGCAGACAAGGAGAAGAAACACTGAATGCAACTGAAAAAACAGGCAAACATAGTAACTCAATTACTTAATCTATTGGCAAAAGATTCTGAGAAAGTGAAATGTCAGGAAACCACTTCTGTTTTTTAAAGAGACAGTGCCCTTGACTTACTTTTTATCATCAACTTTAGGCAACTGAACTTAGGAACTTAGCAAGTAATTATGAGTATACTCCTGTGTATTCCAAACATCAGGATACAACAATGATATTCAGATAATTTATAATGGGGTGTTGTAGCCCAAAGTCAAGGTCAAATGAAGAAAAGAGCTCCAGAAGCCATATCTTCCAAGTAGTCTATTCCTTAAGACAGTGGTATACGACATTTTAAATGGAGACAGAACTCCCAAGTAATGCATTTTTCAGTATCATTACTCTGATATAACAGAACTAAGTGCATTACTTCTGTCTCTCAAGAAATTGTCTCGCTCCCAGAACCAGTAATAAACTCCCTTCATAAGTCTGACATAACGTATACAAAGCACTTATAATATGGAGACTTCTATATTATATAAACCTTAAGATAAACTTCAATCTTAGCCTGTAATGTATTTGCATGTCACACAAGAATAAGCATTTACTCTAAACAAAGATTAGAGGAAGTCACTTGATGTAGGCAAAGCTACAAACTCAGACATTTCAGGAATTATGCAGGACATTAGAGCAGGGCCTCGTAAGCAGCACATGTGTCGTGGGCTTTTCCTCTCAGTTCATACAACCTGTTAGCAAGCTATACAATTAGATGTCAATCAGAATGCCAAATACAGACATATAAATGACAACACCATCCCTAAGACTACATGAGAAATAAACAGTGTACCTCATACGCCAAAAGGAATTGCTACCAATACTGTTGGAAGACTCATAAAAAATGCAGGTTATCACTTACCCCACAACAACCTTTACAAATAAACCATTAAATTTTTACTCACATCAGCAATATTCCACTTTCAGCAATATTTCACTTTCAGCAATAATGTTTTTTTTCTTTTTAAATGCAACAATAGTTCCATTTCTCCAGTATATACTGACAAATACAAGCAATTTCTCCACTACCAGTACATAATGTCTTCAACAAATCGAGAACTGCAAAATAATTCTGCCAGCTCATCTTGGGGAGGTGTCCCTTCTATGTATCATAGGCTACATTCCTCTGATAGCACAAGCTGGAGACAGAAAATGTAGTAACTGCTGGACTTGAAAGCAAGTAAACAGGACGCTGACATTTGGAGGGCTCACAACATCACTGCACATTACAGTCACTAACTCATAGGAAGAATATATCCCAGACATGTCCTGTGGCAGCTCAGATAGTCTAACAAACCTCATGAAGTCATAATTTCCAGTTACTCAGGACTTTTTAAGTCCAAGGCAAATTTACCATCCCTAAGTTTTTAATCCAAAGTACACTCTGTTTTGGTGTGTTTCAAACAGATTCATCTGTTTTTCTATGCAAACAGGGGCGGCTTGGGACAACGGGAATGTTCTTTTCCTTATTAAATGCAACATGACATTTGGGGTTTTTTTGTTTTCTAAAGACAACTAATGACATAAATGACAGAGGGAGGGTAAAATAAATGTTTAAACTTCAGCAGGAAACTAGTTCTGGCAGTACATCTATCTTAAATTGTTCTGATGAAAAGAATACCACTTTGACAGAAAAGTAATCTATAGAGAATCTTCTGAAGTATTCAAGAGTTAATTTAAAAGAATATATATATATTTTAAACTCACATTTATTGTAAAGCTATTTGAGTAGGAAACTTTAAATGCCAGAGTAGGCATATCAGTCTGAACCATCACCTTCCTTTGTTGCCAGTTATCATGAACTATCCTGAAAGGTAGCAGCACTACAGCCTGTGGTCTCAGGATACACAACCAGCTGCCAACATCAGGCAGACAGTTCAGTGTCCAGTGTGGTTTTTTTGGGGTTTTTTGAGCAGTTAATGCAGCTAAGTCATGTGCTTAAATTAGCAAATGCAAGATTTACAGATGACAGTGCAAGCTTAATTCCCTCTCCCATTGGGTTTGTATCATAGCACAGATCTTAATTACTTGAGCGCACACTGCATTTCCCTCTGGACTCCTGTATCACCCAGTTACACCAAGCAAGTGCAAGGGCCAAAAAACTGAGGTTGAAACAGCACCTGTGATTTTAGCAATTCATATCTGCTTGGCTTTACAGCTCAGACAGCCCTGGCTTCTTTTCGAAGTGGTACCATCGTGGTCTGACTCACAAGTGTCCGTAGTATTTGTTTCCATAAACATGACTGGCATTGAGCCAGCTCTGCTTATATTGAAAATATCTGACACCAGAATAATCTCAAACGTTAAGTATTTGTGAATGATGTCCTATTAAATGCTATTATATCAAACTGCTTATTTTACTGTCCAAGATACAGACATACTAATGAGATTGCAATCATTCTCACTGAAGATACCTACAGAACGAAAGTTTAGAACAAAGCAGGATCTATTCCTACAATCTGACCACATAAATGGATTTTCAAATAAAGATGGCACACACTTGTGACAATCATACCCTTCTTCCAGGAGTCAGGAAAAAAACCCACATTATAGCAAGGGGTTGGCCATCTCACCTTCCAAAAAATGAAGGCTGTGAAAATAAGCTTCAAAAATCTCCCAAAGAGACATTTATTTGATCA